CCATTCAATTGGTGAACGTGTGAACGATGCCCCCTCTCTTATGCCAGCCAGAGGGCACACCTCCCGCGTTGTTACTGTCCATTGACTGCTTCCAAGTCCAGGTGACCAAACAGTCCTTTATCGCCAAAGTAAGCTCAGAGCAGTTGGTCGGGCATTCCAGGGTCTGCACCCCTCTTACATCCCAGGTCAATCACGAGAGGGATAAAGCCCCAGCGGATGGCAAACTGGCCGCCCTCGAAGAGCTGCTTGGCCTCTGCTTGGCCTCTTTGCTCAGCGTCACCATGGTGACGGCCTGGGCGGCGCTGCGAGCACCCACTACCGTGGCGGAGTCCTCTCTCCCTCTCTCTTTTTTTTTAAATATAATTGTTTTCTTTATTGATTAAGGTATTACATATGTGTCTTTATCTGCCCATTGTCACCCCAGCTCCCCACTCATGCCCTCACCCCCCTGGTGTCTCTGTCCATTGGTTAGGCCTATATGCATGCATACAAGTCCCTCAGTTGATCTCTCCCCTTAACCCCCACCCTCCCCTACCTTCCCTCTGAGGTTTGACGGTCTGATTGATGCTTCTCTGTCTCTGGATCTGTTTTTGTTCATTGGTTTATGTTGTTCATCATATTCCATAAATGCGTGAGATCATGTGATATTTATCTTTCTCCGACTGGCTTATTTCGCTTAGCATAATGCTCTCCGGGTCCATCCATGCTGTTGCAAATGGTAAGAATTCCTTCTTTTTTACAGCAGTGTAGTATTCCATTGTGTAGATGTACCGCAGTTTTTAATCCACTCATCTGTTCATGGGTACGTAGGCTATTTCCAGATCTTAGCTATGGTGAATTGTGCTGCTATGAACATAGGGGTGCATATATCCTTTCTGATTGGTGTTTCTGGTTTCTTGGGATATATTCCTAGAAGTGGGATCCCTGGGTCAAGTGGAAGTTCCATTTTTGATTTTTTTAGGAAACTCCATACTGTTTTCCACAGTGGCTGCACCAGTCTGCATTCCCACCCGCAGTGCACAGTGGTCAGGGTCTTGATGCTACCTGCATACGCGAAGGAAGTCCATTGTGCACAGCAGGACATCCATCTCCTGACTGAGAAGCAGTCTATCACCCTTCGCCCTGGAGAGAAGTGTGTGGGGAGGTGCACCAGCAGGAAGGGGAGCCCGTGTGGTGCCGTGCGTGCCCCAGGCAGTGCCTGCGCTGGGCTCGCCTGTGCCTGTGCCCTGGTGTCTGGAGAGGACAGGAGAGGAAACCTCAGTAGCCCCCTCAGCAATGGAACAAGCCATAGAGTTAGCCCTGAGTCTTGTCAGTTCATGGAATGACCTGCAGCAACGTGACTAGATTGAAAGGAGAAGACGGATTAACACGCCCAGTATTTTCCAAAGAGCAAAGGCCTTTCTTTGTACTTTCCTGTGTCCTATATTTGTTGTATGTTTGGAATCAGACACAGATATTAATGATATTAGTGGTTTTCAAACACTGCTGTGCTGAAAGCCCCCTTGCCCATGTCTGAAGCTGCTGGAAGGGTTGTTGGTTTTCTGTCTTGGTCTGGTCAGCCGTGGATGGCCTGAGAAGGCTCCCACGATTCAAGGTTGTTGTGACCAACCAAGTACCAGGACTGGGGGACTGAGCAGCAGACCTTTATTACGCTGCAGGCTGGTTTGGTTTCTGCTGGGGCTCCACCTCTGGCTTGTAGGTGCCTGCCTTCTTGCTGTGGCCTTTCCTGAGCCCACAGGCAGAGAGCAACCCGCAGGAACACCAGTCCCATCAGGTCAGGGCTGCCCCTTATGACCGCATTTGATCCCAGGCGATGCCCCCCTTTCTCCAAATAGTCACAGTGGAGGTTATGGCTCCAGCATGGGGACTGGAAGGACACAACTCAGGTACTGGAAGCAGAGCTGTCAGTGAAAAGCATAGGATGGCCCTCTCTGGTTTGGCTCAGTGGATAGAGTGTTGGCCTGCAGCCCAAAGGGTCCAGGTTTGGTTCCGGTTAAGGGCACATACCTTTGTTGCAGGCTCCTCCCAGGCCCTGGTCAGGGCTCGTGCAGAAGGCAACCCATAGATGTGTTTCTCTCACATTGATGTTTCTCTCTCTTTCCCTCTCTCTTCCACTCTCCCTAAAAATCAATGGGAAAATATCCTGGGATGAAGATTAACAACAAAAAGCATTGGATGAAAGTGAGGTTTTGTTGCTGTTCTCACCTGGGCTGTAAATACCTGCCCTCAGGGGAACTCTTTTTAACCCATCCTGCTGTTTCCTTTTGTTACGGTTGCTTTCTTCCCTTATTACAAAAGCAATGTGTGTTCTCTGCAGAACAGTGAGAAGGTGAACGCCCATGTTTGCCAGCAGCAGTTCGTACGAAGTCAGTTGCTTAGTGCACAGTGACCAGTGTGGGGACTGCACTCCTCAGAGAGGGCAGAGGGGGACCCAAGGAACATGCTGGCATAACCAATGCGGTTCCGGAAATTTCCTGGGGGGGGAGGGGGGGCGGGTAGGCACGGGGACTGGTGCACACAGCGCTTGTGTTGCTGGTGGATTAAGCGGAGCTGGACTGTGTGTCTCCCAGGTGCCTGCCACAAACCACAGCTGACATTGGCTCGAAGAGGCCCCAGAGCATTGGGTCTCCTTGAGGCACCCACACACTGTGTTCTGGTCCTGACCCCCCCCCCCTTACAGCATCATTTTCATAGCCCTTCTAATTTTATTAAATAAGTACATGCTTGTATTTAAAGACTTCAAATAAGACAGGATAAACTGATACTATACCCAGAAATACATAACCTGTATTAACTTTTAAGCGTTTTACTTAAAAATAATTTCTGCTTAGAAATAAATTATAAAAATAAAAATTCCCCTTATCAAGAGTGGCCTAGCCCAGCTGGCATGGCTGAGTGGTTGAGTGTCGACCTATGAACCAGGAGGTCAGGGTTTGATTCCCGGTCAGGACACACGCCTGGATTGGGGGCTCGATCCCCATTGGGGGGCGTGGAGGAGGAGGCCAATCAATGATTCTCTCTCATCATTGATGTTTCTATCTTCCTCTCCCTCTCCCTTTCTCTCTGAAATCAATAAAAATATATTTTTTAAAAAGAGTGGCCTATTCTTGATATTTTAGCTCATTTGCCATTCTCATTTGTCGTTCTTTCTCTCGCTGTCTCTATGTGTCTGTATGTGTATACACACATGCACACATAAGTTACACACATGTGCCATTTTTTAAAAAGCATTAGAGGGCAAGTTGCATACAGCATCGCCTTTATCCCTGAATCCTCCTGTGTCTATGTCCTAAGAATAGGGATGTTCTTACACAACCAGAGTACAGTTGTCAACATCAGTAAACTTAACATGGACAGCACCCATATTGCAATTGGTCAGCAGACCCAAAAGTTTCTCCTCCTATTTCAAGATCCAGTCGAGGGTGAGGTGTTGCGTTTTGCTTTCCTGCCTCTACAGCACTCAGTCTGGACCATATCCTCAATACTTTCTGTTTGTGCTATGACTCTCATACTTTGGGAAAATGCAGTTTCCTCCCCATCTGGCATGAAGCTTCACTTTGGGTTTGTGCTCATGATTCCATCAGGGTTCAGCCTTCTCCGCCACAGCCCTCCTTTCTCGGGGTTACGGGGTTCTCTCCCTGGTACCTGGCAGGCGTCTGAGAAGACATTGCGAGGCTGGACAGACACTTCGTCCTCGCCAGCGTTTCTGCCCGGACCTGGCGTCTTGGTGTTTTCTGTTTGTGATGCTGCACGTCGTGCCCTTCCAGCTGCTGCAGCTCCATGGAGACATCCTGTCCTGACAAGCACCCTCGTCCCCCATTGGCTCCTCTGCTCATTGTCTGCACGCACTCATTGATTCCTGCTTTTCAGTGGCTTTTAATAACTGTATTTAGTGTTGTTCGTGCTCAAATTGTCCCACATGTGGCAGTGGGAACCCCTTCAGCTGGCTGCTGTGTCCTGTGACATGCCCTGGAATTTATTTATTTATTTATTTATTTATTTATTTATTTATTTATTTATGTTTGAGCACTCTGTATTTTCTGAAATTAGATAATTAGGCTCGCCCGGTTCTTTCTCTGCTCCAGGTCTGGCATCAACCATTTCTCCATGGAGAGTTGGTGCCTGTTAGCGAGGAATGACTTTAAGGTGTGCTTGGTGTGCTCATTGCTGCTGTGGCCCTGTCAGTGGACAGAGCTAGGAAATCTACACATGTGTACGCACACACACAAACATAGGTGCACACGAGCATGCAGGCAGGAATCACGAGGTCACACGTGGACCTGCATTCCCAGTGCGGCTCCGTGAGTCCTTTGTCTGACTTCTTCCATGCCTCATCTGTGTGTCCGTCTTCAGCTGTGGGCCCTGGCTCCTGACCAAGGCAGCACGGTTCCTCATCCCTATGACGCACTTAAAATAGGATTCTGAAGTGGACTGTACTTATCACACCTATTCAAGAGTCAGGACCACCCCTCCCTGCCCATACTGTCCACTTTGGGTGAACACCTCTGGCTCTCCTGTGTCTACCTGCAGATAAATCATCATTGCTCTGTGTACACTCTCGCCTGACTTCCCCCCAACACCATTCCGCAACATCTTTTTTAAAAAAATATTTTTTTATTGATTTCAGAGAGGAAGGGAGAGGGAGAGGGGGATAGAGACATCAGTGATGAGAGAGAATCATTAATCAACTGCCTCCGGCACGCCCCACACTGGGGATCAAGCCCACATCCCAGGCATGTGCCCTGACTGGGAATCGAACCTCCTGGTTCATAGGTCAACACTCAAACACTGAGCCACACCGGCCAGGCTCCACAACATCTTATCCAACATGGCTTTCTCTACAAAATGAGATCCATAGAATACTTTGTAATGGCAGCAGAATAAGACTACATAGAACTCCCTGTTATTGGACTTTGCTTTTAAAATGTGTCCAGTTGTTTTCTGTGATATATAAAGCTGGTATCAACATCTTTGTAACTAAATCTTAATTATCTCCTTAGGGTGGAAGTGGAGTTACTGGTCAGAGGGTATGTATATTTTTATGTCTTTGTGATGGCTCCTGGTTTTCCAGGCCCATGTCTCTCAGTGTGGCTGCACATCAGAACCACCAAGGGCACTTTCAGAAGCAGTGACGCCTGGCCCGGACTCAGAGCCTCTGAGAGTCTGGTTTCAAGGATCTGGGGTGCGAACAGGATTTGTAGTTTTTAAAGGCTCCCCAAGAGATTTTGATATGCAGCCAATGTGATATTTTATTATTTTAATTTTAATATTCTTCTGAAATTGTTTCAGACAGTCAGATTTGGGAGAAGTGGCCCCCGAAATAAAAGCCTCTGAGAGACCAGCAGCTGTGGCCATTGCAGGTAAGGTTGGGCCCGCCCACCCCCAGCAGACACTGCACAGGTTCTCTGTCCCTTCGAGAAGCTGCTCCCAGCACCGCCCTGGCCAGGGGTCATGCACCTAAAAAGTAAATAAACATAGGCTTTGTTTTTCCATTCACAGAATATTCCATCGAGGAGTCCTTTAAAATTCTCTTTTATATTCAAACTAGGATTCAGTGTTACACAGGTGATGTCACACTGCTGTCCATTGGCCTGGTGGGAGCATATCATAACTGCCGCCCGAGACATGTCTGGGCTGACTGACCAGTTTCTAATCTGGGCATCTCTGAGAGGGAAAGGTGTATGTTATTGGGACCACAGGTATAACTTGGAACTGTCCTGGGCAGGCTGGGGCTTGGGGTCTTTCTGGTCATGGTCCCTATACGCTGGTTTGTCTTTCTCTAGCGCAGTGGCTCTCAATCTTCCTAATGCCGCGACCCTTTAATACAGTTCCTCATGTTGTGGTGATCCCCAATTTCATTGTAACAAATTGAACATAATTAAAGCATAGTGACTAATCACAAAAACAATATGTAATTATATATGTGTTTTCCGATGGTCCTAGGGGACCCCTGTGAAAGGGTCGTTCGACCCCCAAAGGGGTCACGACCCACAGGTTGAGAACCGCTGCTCTAGAGATTTGCAAGGTGGGCTGTAGCTGCCCCTTGTGACTTAAGCGTTAAGGTGTGGCCACACTCCAGACATCTTCATTTCTCCTGGGAACTCACTTTGGATGTATCTTTCATAGATTTGGTATGTTTCCAAATTAATGTGTTTTATTGGATATTAATAGTGTTACGCAAAAATAACTCCACAAAATATGCAAATAAGTTTGGGTCAGTCACGTTTTATTTTATTAATTCAAACAAATATTTATTCAGTGAGATACCACCTGACACCCACTTGAGTGGCAACTATAAAAAAAACTATAAAAAAAACAAACAAACAGAAAAGAACCAGTGTTGGCCAAGATGTGGAGCAACTGGAAGCCTCATGCACTGCTGGTGGGAGTGTAAGAGGTGCAGCTGCCGTGGGTGCAGGATGGCTTAAGGGGTTGAGAGGGGAAATGTGGGAAACTGCTTCCTGGGACAGAGCCTTACTTTCAGGTGACGGAAATGTTTGGAGATAAGTAGACAAGAACTGGAGGTGGCACAGCTGGTGACTGTGCTAACTGCCACAGAATCATTCACTGTAAAATGGTTTTCTTCCCCAAAGGTTTTCCCTTTTTTTTTTTTTTAAATATATTTTATTGATTTTTTACAGAGAGGAAAAGAGAGAGATAGAGAGTTAGAAACATTGATGAGAGAGAAACATTGATCAGCCGCCTCCTGCACATCTCCCACTGGGGATGTGCCCGCAACCCAGGTACATGCCCTTGACCGGAATCGAACCCAGGACCCTTAAGTCCGCAGGCAGACAGTCTATCCACTGAGTCAAACCGGTTTCGGCAAGGTTTTCCCTTTTTTGTTAAATACACATGACATAGTATTTACTATCTTAACCATTTCTAAGTGTACAGTTCAATGGCATTAAATGCATTCACATTGTACTGTGTCCATCAGCACCATCCATCCCATAACTTTACTCACCCTGTAAATAAGAAATTCTATACCCATTAAACCATAACACCCCCTTCCCCTCCCCCAACCCCTGGCATCCACCATTACTCTTTCTGTCTGTACTGTAGGTACCTCCAATGAGGGACTCTGAACAGTATCTGTCTGGTTTTGACTGGCTTACTTCCTTCAGCATCAGGTTCCTCCATGCTGCAGCATTTTGCAGAACCTGCCATTGTATATACAGACCCCGTTTTGTTTATCTGTGTATTCATTGATGGACACTCGGTTGCTCCTATGTTTTAGCTATTGTGAATAATGATATCAGAACACAGTGTGCACATATCTCTTCCAGACCTTGTTTTAGTGTTTGGAGGTGTACCCCTGACATGGAATTGCTGGGACATGTGGTCGCTCTAACTTGCTGACCAGACTCAGCGCATATGCGTTTTTCTTCCAGATCTGGAATGGAGAGAAATGGAAGGAGATGACTGCGAGCTTCAGTATGGAGGTAGAAGCCACAGGGTTTGGTAAAGGGGGTGGGTGGAGGGGGTGGGGGGTGGGGCAGGTGTAGGGAATGGGCAAAGTGAAACCTAAATGAAGTTTTATGTTTTGAACAGTCAGGAGAACTTGCTGTCTTAGTGAGAAACACAGGGCTCTGAGTGCAGCTTAAACTAACCGGTGTGGGTCCCGGCCCCTGGTTTGATTGACACGCCTGTTCCTTTGCTTTTGCAGATGGTATGAACGAGGCTCAGGAAGGTGACTTTCCAACAGGTATGTGTTTCCTCTCACGTTTCTGCTCTCTGCTCAGCGTCCTGTCCTGTTGAAGGAAATAGCATCACCGCTGCTGGTTCTCACCCTGGCTGCATCAAACTCACCTCCAGTCCAGCAACCCTTTATATCAACTCATATATTAGTAATTCTGCCAGAAAACAAGCCCCTGGGAGTGTCACGTTAGAGAGGAACATAGTGAGTTGGCACTTTGGATGTTATTTTTAACAAGTTCTCCGAGGGACTCTAAAGCCCAGCCAGTCTGTGCACCGCTCATGTGGTCTGTGGTTTCACGTACAGATCCACAGAGGGTCACACACTGGGCAGCAGTTGGCGTTTAAATAGGCTTGTTTGTGCTGGCTTTTCCCTACTGTACTTAACTACTTGAAAAATAAGGACAGTTGTTCCATGTCTGATGAGAAAAACAATGTCCCGGTTTCATCCTGACAAAACTCAGAAACCTGAAGGGTTTCTTCTCCAGTGTCCCTCTCCCCACAAGTTGTGTCCCTGCAACAAGGTCTCCAGCCCGGGTCCAATGGCAGCCACGGCCCGAGAACCCTCCGAGTGCCCGTGCAGGCACAGGCAGCAGGTGGACCTTGCAGGGGAGTGAGACATGTGTCCCTGTGCCCAGTGCTGCTGGCCCCGCGTGCCCTGAGCCCGTCCCATGTGGCTCCATGAGCACCTATGGCAGCATCACAGGCGGTGCTTCCTCTCTCGAGAAAGGAATGGAGAGTCCTGGAGAGCAGCAGGAGGCTTAATTATTCTGTTGGTTTATGTAGCATTGAAAGCGACTAATTATGTGCAGCATGGAAATTGGTGAGAGCCATGGCCAACAGAGAAGTGGATGAAACTTGGCAGGGCCTGACTGTTATGAGCACCCCGAGTTTGTAAGAGTCTGTATCGTAATGGCTGACATGTGAAGATCTGAATAAATAAGTGCAGAAGTACGATAATCTCTAATAAATGCTTGAATATAATGAAAATGTAAACCCATAGTATTTGGCCTCAGAGTGCAAAATAGGTTAGCTGTGATCTGCAGCACTGTGTACCTAGTAACAACTCCCTGTCTCCAGTTTTGAAAAGAGAAAAGAACATGAATAAGAAAATCAAGTGACTCGGTGGTTGTGTCACCATGGAAAATCTCCAGTGATAGTGTGAGGGCTTCACTGCTGCCGAGTGCAGGGAGCCTGCCGCCTGGCATACAGCGTTCACCCAGGCGGCTGCTCTGGTCTTGGTGCTGCTGGAGCCCGTAGTTCCAGAGAAGCAGCCATGTAGACGTCTGCATGTGGCCCTGGCGGCCTGTCCTCACCCCTCTCCTGTCCCACGGGTCTGCCTGTGCTGGGACTGGGTGGTGTGATGCATGTGTGTCTTCGTCTCAGGGGCCCAGGGCGTCCTGCTCTTGGAAGGGCTGCCCCCACCATGCTGGTGCCCCTTCCTGCCTCTACCCTGGGCCCCACCCTCTCGGCGAGCACTTACATCTTCGTTTCCCTCCACAGTGGAGAGGAGCCGGCTGCAGGAAATGCTGTCGCTGTTGGGACTGGAGACACACCAGGCCCAGAAACTGGGCCTGCAGGACGCCCTGCAAATCAGCAGTGACAGTGTGAGGAACTGGGCGCCTCAGGCCCCCAGAGACCTGCCCTGGACCTTCCTGAGGAAGCTGCAGGCCCGCAGCGCTGAGGCCCGGAGCACTGCAGTGCTGGCCTCGCCCTCGGGTGCCCGGCCCGCGGAGAAGGAGAGCCAGATGGAGGAGGAGGTCATCTACTGGGACACAGCCGACGACATCTCCGCGGACATCTACTCCTTCTCGGAGCTGCCCACGCCCGACACGCCCGTGAACCCCCTGGACCTGCTCTGTGCCTTGCTGCTCGCCTCCGATGGGTTCCTGCAGCAGGAAATCGTGCTGAGAATGTCTCTCTGCCAGTTTGCGCTCCCACTCGTTCTGCCTGACTCGGAGCACCACGCCCACACCTTCCTGCTGTGGGCCATGCGGGGTGTCGTGCGGACATGGTGGGCACAGCCCCCGAGGGGCGCGGGCAGCCTCAGGGAGGACAGTGTGGTCCTGGCCCGGGCACCTGCCTTCGCCTTTGTGCGCATGGAGGTCAGCAGCAACTCCAAGTCCCAGCTGCTCAACGCCGTGCTCAGCCCGGGCCACAGGCAGCGCGACTGCTTCTGGCACCGGGACCTGAGCCTGGGCACCAGCCCCCGGGAGATCGCGGATGGGCTGGTGGAGGTCTCCTGGCTCCTGCCCACTGGCAGGGAGGACCTGGACCTTTGCCCAGAACCCGTGGCCTTTCTGAACCTCAGAGGTGACATTGGGTCTCACTGGCTGCAGTTTAAGCTCTTGACAGAGGTCTCCTCAGCCGTGTTCATTCTGACCGACAACATCAGCAAGAAGGAATACAAGCTATTGTCCTCCATGAAAGGGTCGGCCACCAAGTACTACTTCATCCTGAGTCCCTACCGTGGGAAGCGGAACTCCAACCTGCGGTTCCTGAACAGGCTGACCCCTGTGCTGAGGATGGACCACTCCCACGTGCTCGTCAAGGTCAGCAGCACAGACGGTGCCCGCTTCACGCGCAGGGTCCGCGCCATTGTGGCGAGCGTGGCCCGGTCCCCCTGCAGGAGGGTGTCTGTGGAGGACATGGCCCACGCAGCCCGAAGGCTGGGGCTGAAGGTGGACGAGGACTGTGAGGAGTGCCAGCGGGCGAAGGACCGGATGGAGCGGATCACCAGGAGCATCCGAGACCCCGATGCCTACCGCAGGGAAGAGCTGAGGCTGCAGGGAGAGCCGTGGAGGAAAGCAGCTCGTGTGGAGAAGGAGCTGTGCCAGGCGCAGTGGGCGGGGGACCCGGCGGACAAGCGCCGGGCCGAGCTGAGGCAGCGGCTGCTGGAACTTCGCACACAGCAGAGTGGCCACGACCCTGCGGGGGGCGTGCAGGAGTTCATTGCGGGCATCAGCTGCCCCTCTCTGGGCGAGAGGCAGTATTTCCTGAGGTGGATGGAGTGGGGCCTGGCCTGGGTGGCCCAGCCAAGGCCAAGGCAGCTTCCAGAGGCAGCTCCGACCCTGAGACCAAAGCAGGGTGGGGCTGGGGACCGAGAGCCGCTCTGGCCGGAGCCCTTGGGGGTGGAGCACTTCCTGCGGGAGATGGGACAGTTTTACGAGGCAGAGAGCTGCCTGGTGGAAGCTGGGAAGCTGCCCACAGGCCAGAGGCGGTTCGCCCACTTCCCAGGCTTGGCCTTGGAGCTGCTGGTGAGGGGGCTGCCCCTGGAGCTGGTTGACGGGAGCACGCGGAGCACCCCCCTGCGCTGGGTCACGGGGCTCTTGAAGGAGCTGCACACGCGCCTGGAGAGAAGGTCACGCCTGGTAGTGCTGTCAGCGCTGGGTGTGCCCGGAACCGGGAAGTCCACTCTTCTCAACACCATGTTTGGGCTTCGGTTTGCCACTGGGAGGGGTCGGGGTCCTCGAGGGGCCTTCATGCAGCTTGTCACAGTGGCCGAGAGCTTCAGCCAGGACCTGGGCTGTGACCACATCCTGGTAATAGATTCGGGAGGGTTGATAGCAGGCGCCCCGGCCACAGCTGGGGAGCGCTTTGAGCTGGAGGCCTCCCTGGCCACTTTGATTATGGGGCTGAGCGATGTCACCGTGATCAGTTTAGCGGAAACAAGGGACATCCCACCGGCTATTTTACATGCCTTCCTGCGGCTGGAGAAAACGGGGCACATGCCCAACTACCAGTTTGTGTACCAGAACCTTCATGACACGTCTGCCCCTGGCCCGAAGCCACGGGAGAGGAGGCCGCTACTGGAGTCACCCTCGGACATGAGCAGAGCCTCCACACACGTGGCCAAGCAGGGAGACGGCCTCCGGACGCTGGCGGACCTGGCCTTCTGTGACCCCGAGAAGCAGCACGTCTGGCATGTTCCTGGCCTGTGGCACGGAGCGCCTCCCATGGCTGCCGTGAGCTTGGGGTACAGTGAGGCCGTGTTTGAGCTGAAGAGATGCCTGCTGGAGAACATCAGGAACGGCCTGTCCGACCCCCACAGGAATATTCAGCAGCTCATTGAGCTGGTGGGACTGCTGTGAGCGTGGCAGCTCGAGGGCGTCCACCTGGGGCTGGCCCCTGATGCGCTGCTGTCCTGCCCATGGGAGAAGGTAGAAAAGCAAAAGACGGGTCCTGGAGTTTCCTACCCTATTAAGCTGCAGAGGCTGTGGGTGTGGAGCAGCTCTGGGGGAATGCATCCAGGACTATGTCTCAGCTCCTTGGGCGGCCTGTGGTGGGGCCTCTTTCATCGGTGCCTGGAGTGGAGAGGTGCTCTCTCTCCATCACGCAGCCGGCACACGCGTCCCAGGAGAGGGGTGGGGAAGGGGCCCCAGGAAACATACAGGCTTCCCTCCAGTGCGTCGTCGGTGGGTCCATGCTGCCTGGACAGAGCGCCCATGTGGCAAGTCTATTTATCGCCTGACGTGAAGCCCTCCCCGGCCCCGCCCTGCTCACCCTGCTGCACCTCGTGCCCTGCAGCACCTGGAATACAGCTCCCCATGACAGGAGCACGTGCTCACGGGCCAGCCCCGCCCCCAGACTGTGCGCTCTTTGAGGGCGGGCTGTGTTACCCAACTTTGTCCCGCCAGGGCCTGGTACACTGTGGGCGCGTTAATAAAAGTTTGTGAAACGAATGGATGCGTGAGTGAGGGGAGCAGGCGGTTCCTCTCCGGGCCTGATGTTCCCGCTTCCTCCGAGAGGATCAGTGTTTTTCTGAGGGAGGGTGTGCAGGGGACCCCTGAGAGGAGGTCCCTTCTAGGCTGTTACTGGGAACAGGAAATGTTCCTGCAACCATCCCCATCACTGTCCCCTTCTGTAGGGAGGGAAGGGGTCCAGAGCAGTGGACCTGGGAGGGCAGAGCTGCTAGGGAGCCGCTGCCCTAGGCGCCGGGCCTCCACTTCCTGGTTCTCGTCCCCAACGCCCACACAGCAGGCTCACCCACCGGACCACGGTGCCAGCCCTGACTTTGCTGTCGTGCTCCTGGGACCAGCCTTCTTCCCTGCCACCATTTGAGCCAGAACTTGGGGCCCCTCTCTGGTCGATTCTCCAGCTGAAGTGCTGGCCTGCACTGGCCTCATCAAGGTCACTGCCGAGCCACGGAGCCAGTCCCAGCAGTGGCACCAGCTCTGGGGATCTCAGCTCAGTCCTTGGGCCTCCTCCCCTCTTTTGTGGCTTCAGGAAAACTCGGCCGGAGGTGGTGGCCCGAGCTCCTCTGTGCCCTTTATTCCTTTTGCAGACTCGGTCAGTGAGCCTCGGTCTGGAGCAGCTTCCTCGAGCCAGGCCCCTCGGCCCCTCGGCCCCTCGCTGCATCCCAGGACACCGTGGCATCCTTGGTGTTTGGGATGTTGTTGCCGGGCGCTGTGAGTCTCAAGACTCAACTCTGGAAACCTAACCTGCGGAAAACGTTTTCTCTTCTGAAACTTAAGAGTCTGTAGTCCTCAGGCACTGGAAGCTCATCTCTTTCTGGATCAGTAAGTGACACACGTTTTTAGGTGTTGGTTCACAGGAAATACCTTATACTTCCCATTACTTTGCTTCTCCAGCTCAGTGGGACGTTCACCCAGGATCCTTCTGGGCCTAAATCCAGGCACTGGGAACCTGTCTTAGAATTGCTGTAACCCCTTTAAAATTGAGTCCAGCTATTCCAGAAATCTGACCTGGGGAAGCTAGCCCTACTGGTTCCCTACCAGTCAAGGGTTCTTTTTTTCTTCTTCAGTCAAGGGTTCTTTACGAGGGGGTCTATCCATTGTCCAAAGTTAAGGTTCAGTTATTGAATTCCTGAAAATCAGGTGTGTGATTTTCCTTCTGGGAAGAGAGTTCATAGCTTTAAATGGATTCTCAAAAGGCTGAGCTTCTTTTTCTTGATGATACATAAAGCAGTGTCTGCAACTGATGTTATCTTAGTTGTACTGAAACACAGTACCTGGCAGGGCTGGTGTTAGAAATTTGTACGGACGTATGCCTGGTATGGTAGCTCTCCCCAGCTCCTCAGATGTGAGTGAGCCCGGGAAAGAAAAATCCTTTCTCTTTTTTCTGAGTCAGTAGTAAAAAAAATTACTTTGACTATAAACCTATCCCGGTATCCTAAGACGTCAACAAAACCAATTCGGAGTGTGGCTTTCCCAGCACAGAGTCAGGATGCAGAGCAGCGCCGGGGGTTTGACCCTGGTGTGGTGACTTTTACCTCTCGCCTCACAGCCCCCATGTGCTGTCCTGGGCCTGGGCCTCCTTCCACCGCCCCTGGCTCTGTCTGCCCAGGCAGGCACTTCTCCCTCAGGATGCAGCCCCACCTCCACCCTACCCTCTAAGAAGTAGGGCCTGTGAGAGCTCCAGTTACCGTCCTGATCTTCTGTCTTGTCTGCTTTTCTGCCCCCCGTCCCCTCTCCAAGCTTCCTGCTCCTGGAGGAAGGTGATGTCAGCCACTTTGGAGTCCTGATCTATCCTGGGGTCTGAGAATCAGAAGTGAGGTCTGAGTTGCTGGCATGTGATGCCCATTTTCCCATCCACTACTGCAAGCCCTGGAGTGTGGCTTTCAGCCCCAGGTTACTGGCAAAAGGAACAGGGTGTTTGGAAATGGCTCCGTCAGGAGACTGGTTACTTCAGCACCCCGAAGCTGAGGTCAGTAGTGCCACTCCATTCTGTGCCTCAGCAGCGGAGAGGGGGCTGGAGAAGGACCAGGGTCAGAGCCCCTTGGCTACCCATAAAGACAGCAGAGGACGGAGCTGGGACTCGGGTTCAGTTGTGGTTTGGCTTAGTTCCCAGATGAGAGCTTGGAGCCTTGGATTCTTCCTGGTGAATGGGCCGGACACTAGGAGAAAACAAATCACCAGTAGCCATTTTATTTATTTTTTAATCCTTATTGTTAAAAGTATTACATATGTCCCCTTCGTTCTCCCATTGACCTCTTACTACCAGGAGTGATTTTGAAGTACAGGTTTATAAAACATAAAGTGTGAGCTGAGGATGTTAGTCTTCCCAGGAGGACCAGTGTGAGTCGGATTGTCTGGGCTAAGCCTGCAGCCAGCAGGAAGGCAGAGGGCTCTCTGGCTGGGGCACCTCTCCCTGAGGCTAGACTCACCAGATTCCTGGCTGGACTGTGCAAATCCAGAGGCCCAGAGGCCCCCTCACACAGTGTCACCCACAGTGGCCAGTGCCCTATCTGATAGAGGCAAGCCCTTGGGCTGTACTGGACAGCCCATCTCGAAGGCGTCCAGACCACCCAGCAGGCCCCTCCTCTGCCTTGTGGTCCAAGAGGGGCAGGTGTGGACTAAGCCCATCCCCTCTGAGTGACCTGGTCTAAGAGCTAGACCAGCCTCCCCGCCAGGTGCCCCTGCACAGGTTCTGGGACTCTGGTGCACAAACCTGCATTCAAGGCGCTGGTTCTTAACCCTGGCTACAAATAAGGGTCATCTGAGGAATACTGGGAAAGGACGGTGCCACCCCCAGTCCTATACTTGGGGTGTGGGGCCCAGTGGACTCGCATGTGCAGCCAGGGTTGAGAACCTCCGCTTTGAGAGCATAAAAGCGACTGATGCCTGGTGATCACAAGGGCTCGTGTCTGAGAAAACCACAGTTGCACATCCTCCTCTTCCTGGGCCCTTGGTGTGGTCACTTGTTTCTAGACGTGGCTTTCCTCACCCAGGAAGGGTCAGTCCTAAGCAGTGTGTGCTCAGCCCCAGACCCCACCATTCCCGATCCTACGTGGCTCTGAAGGCTCCCACTCACAGATGCAGTGGAGCCCAAACACTTGCTACCATTGCTCGTTCTAACCTCAGCTGAATCTCTGACCTCCATCTTCTCTCTGCAAACCCTGTGAAAGACAATATTGCCTTTCACAGGATTGATGGGGGAAGAAGGCAAGTGCATCAAAACACAACAGGTGAAAATTGCAGAAAAATAAAACACCCTGTTAAAAATTTCCACTGGTAATGTAAAACTGCAGCAATTCATGCATTAAAATTGTCCTTTTAAGTTATTTTAATCATGCACTCACAGGACACCGCTCCCCGCCCCCCATCAAGGAACCAGCTCCTTTTTGCAACAAGGCAGGTAAGAATTTTAAAAAGGTGGGTAACCATGAGAGAGCTAGACCAGGTAGAATTGCTGGGAGACATCTCAGGAATGAAGAAAAAAAAACGTTGATAGTGGTATTGCCTACTGCATTGAGGGCAGACCTTTGACCCCGAGCACAACAACCCTGCTGAGCACTGCCTTCTGCTCCCAGAGGAGTGAAGGCCATAGTCACCTTTGCTGCAAAACCAGCCACTTCTCTCCTCTGATTGAGGTCGTGTTCTTGTGAGTTCTCATTAACCCTAAATAGCTGGCTTATCTCCCTCAGAGGATGAGAAATCAGGGACTCTATTCTTAAAAACAAATGAACCAAAAAAACCCCCACCACTCCAACCCCCCCATTTATTAGGTACTCATTCTGTCAGACAATTTATAATGAAAACTTTCAAAGCAATCATCACTGTCCCCATTTTATAGATTAGGAAAACTGAGGCTTAGGAAGGTCCGGTCACTTGTCTAAATTATACACTAGGAAGCAGGAATTCAGATACCAGCTGCCATGTTCCTCAGCACTTTGGAGTAAATTTATAAAAAAAATTTATACACACACACACACACACACACACACACACACACACACACACTAGAGGCCCAGTGCACAAATTCATGCATGGGTGGGGTCTGGGCCAATTGACCACAGGCGGTTGGCCAGATGGCCCCGCCCCCTGGTCAAACTCCCAGTCAAGGGGACAATTTGCATATTAGCCTGTTATTATATAAATAAAAGGCTAATATTCTAAGTGACCTTCCCTCCGTTCGGGTATTGGTGTCATGCGGCAACGCCTGGCTTCCTTTCCCTAGCAACTAGCGTCCTTATAGTTTCTTCGATCCTCACAGAAGTCCTGGAGTAGGCAGATAGGCGACTTGGTGGAATCCAGTTTTATTTTCATTAGCTGGAAAATGGAGATTTAGAAAGCTTAGAAACTTGACCCTACTGAAAAGAAGTAAGAAATGGTGGACCTTAGGGGAAAAAAAAGAAAAAAAGAAATGGTGGACCTTGAAAATGACTTTAGGTTTTCTCACTTCGCAGAATATAGTCAAACACAGCTGCAGTTAAATATTTCACCCTTTGTTCTCCCTGCGTGATCTACAATAATTATCTGCTTCATGTTCATATTTACTGCTGTGTTGCTGACAATTACCTGAAAGAGAAGTTGGGATGTTTCACTGGGCTGGAAAAAGTTTAGCTACATCAGAAAGCGGGTCTAATTAAGCAAGTTTATTCTATATCTATAAAAGGCTAAGTTGACTCACCCATGTGTGATACATATAAAGCTCTCGCTGGCACCAATTGCATGCGTGTGTTTCGATCTGTCATTGTTGATCGTGAATTTGGTTGACAATTCTATTATAGAGGAAGGGCGAATAGCAATATTAAAATATTTCTTCTAAGTAATTTCCTTTCAATGTACTTGAATTCATGCACCAGGTCACTAATCCTATATAATAAAAGGGTAATATGCAAATTGACCCTAACAGCAGAACGACTGGGAATGACTGGTCACTACGACACACACTGACCACCAGGGGGCAGCTCCCTGATGGTCAGTGTGCTCCCACATGGGGAGCTCTGCTCAGCCACAAGCCAGACTGATGGCTGCCAGTACGGAGGTAGTGGTGGGAGCCTCTCCCGCCTCCTCAGCAGTGCTAAGAATGTCCGACTGCAGCTTAGGCCTGCTCCCCGCTGGCAAGTGGACATCCCCCAAGGGCTTCTGGGCTGCCAGAGGGATGTCTGACTGCCAGCTTAGGCTCAAAACCCCGTGGAGCAGGCCTAAGCCAGCAGGTGGACATCCCCCGAGGGGTCCCAGACTGCGAGAGGGCACAGGCCGGGCTGAGGGACCCCCCCACCCCCCAGTGCACAAAGTTTTGTGCACTAGGCCTCTAGTCAAGTTATAAAGTGGTCAAACTTTGTTGAAAATAAAATAGTATCAGTTTAAAAGGGTCCTCCAGGAAGGGTTAAACGTTCTTATAATCAGGAGGTATTGTGCTTGGAGACCATCTCATCCCTGTTTTGCCCTCTTATCCAACATGCGGAACAGTTGGAGACCACAGTTAAAAAAATTAGAAATAAAACAGTTCTAGTGAAGTGGGCATGAAAGACACTGTTCTTTCATTAAAAAAAAATTTTTTTTTGAGGACCCAGCTTCAAGTGGCCAGCAGAATATTGGTCATGGAGAGTGAACAGACTTGGTCCCTTTTCCTCTTCCCCAGTGTGATCTTAGGCAACTTACCCTCCACCTTTGCCTCCATTTCCCTTCCACATAAAGGGTAGTCTTGTTCTCCCTCCCATGGGAACCACAGAAGCCTAAGGTTGGATGATGTAGGTAAAAAACAAACAAACAAAAAAACAGGCCAAATGCTAGCGATCCCACATGAGTCAACAGAAACAATGACAACTATTTATTCTGACAGCTCTATGAGGTAGGACTATCAATTAACCCATTTTATAGATAATGGAACTGAGGCACGAGTGTACACAGATTGTTATACCAGGGCCCAACTCCACCTAGAGCCTAGGTTTTTCCCATTCCTGTGCTGAGTTCTGAAAGAAGACGTACAGTGTTGTTCCTCTCCCCTGTGACATCAGTAACCAGAGAGCAATCACAGCAGTAATGCTCTGGTCTGAGTACCCCAGACCCCAGGGAGATCCCCATGGTTCTCCTCATCCCCCAAGAGCAGACGCTAGAAGCCCCAAAGAATATTATTTGAAAATATTACTGAAGCCGAAACCGGTTTGGCTCAGTGGATAGAGCGTCGGCCAGCGGACTGAAAGGTCCCAGGTTCGATTCCGGTCAAGGGCATGTACCCGGGTTGCGGGCATATCCCCAGTAGGAGATGTGCAGGAGGCAGCTGATGTTTCTCTCTCATCGATGTTTCTAACTATCTCTCTCCCTTCCTCTCTGTAAAAAATCAATAAAATATATTTAAAAAAAGAAAAGAAAAGAAAACATTACTGAAAATAAACTGTATTTGAAAAATAAAAAAATAAATTTAAAAGTTTTCAGAAACATAAAAGAAATATGTGTTAATTATAGAAAATACATATAAACCAAAATAAATTACACGTGATCATACTTACCAAAGATAAACTGCTAATATTTGAAATAGGCTGCTATGTTCTTACTGTGTACGTAGGTCTATGATATTTTCTTACAAAAATGGCATCTTGTTGACAGTTTTTGTGATCTTGTCTTTATGTATCGTGAGGACTTTAATGTAATAAATATAATCCACATTGTGCGGGGAATATTTGGAGACAAGTCAAGTAGCCTAATTTGTAGAACCTGCGAAACGCTTCAAGGGGAGGTCGGGGCGGGGCGGCGCGGAGCCACGCTATTGTCCTCAGGTACGGCGCGCTCTCGGGGCGGAGCCGGGGGGCGGGGAACCTCACGCTCTGCATCCTCAGACCTCCGGGCCGGGCCGGAACCGCGATGCAAACTCCAGCGGTGGCGGGAGAGAGGTACGGAAACTAGCGTCACCGGTCCAGCCCCGGCCGAGAGGCCCCGCCCCAGGTCGAGAGGCCCCGCCCCGGCCTAGAGGCCCCGCCCCGGCCGAGAGGCCCCGCCCCGGCCTAGAGGCCCCGCCCCAGGTCGAGAGGCCCCGCCCCGGCCGAGAGGCCCCGCCCCAGCTGAGAGGCCCCTCCCTCTCTTAGAGGCCCCGCCCCAGCCGAGGGGCCCCGCCCCAGGTCGAGAGGCCCCGCCCCGGCCAAGAGACTGCTACACCCGCGCGGGCTTCAATTTGGTCCCGTCCGCGGGTTGGCCTCCCGGCGCCGACCTTTGCTCCGCGGCGCGGTGTTACGTCACAGGCTGCGGTCAGCTCAAGATGGCGGCGCCCGTGTGCAGCAGGGGGCTCGGGCCGCGGGTGAGTGGCGACCAGGCGGGCCCGGCGGGCGGAGGGGTGCCCTAGTTCCGGTCTCACGCTCTTCGCTCGGCACACACAGGTGCTGTCCTGGAGCCGAGCGCTGCCGTGTGCCTGGCGCGCCCTGCATGTCTCCGCGGTCTGTGCCAAGGTGAGCCGACCGGAGCGAGGGGCAGGGGCGTGGGCGACGAGAGGCCGCGAAGGCGGGGTGGGGAGGAGCGAGGGGCCGGGGCGAGGGGTCGCGGGGGCGGGTGGGGAGAGGCGAGGGGCCGGGGCGAGGGGCCGCGGGGGTTGGGGGTGGAGAGGCGAGGGGCCGGGGCGAGGGGCCGCGGGGGTTGGGGGTGGAGATAGGTGTGGGGCCGGGCCCGTTCTCAGCCCGGGTCCTGCGCACGCACTTAGGCCGCTCTTTGCTCCTAGAACCGGGCGGCCCGGGTCCGAGTGGGCAAAGGGGACAAGCCCGTGACCTACGAGGAGGCGCACGCGCCTCACTACATCGCCCACCGCAAGGGCTGGCTGTCGCTGCACACAGGTGAGCTGGAGGCGGGCGATGCGACCCCGGCCCCGCGAAGGCGTTCTCAGTCGTGACTGTCAGGCGCGAGACGAGCTCTGTCGAGGTCTGTTCCAACCAGTAATCGGTGCCGGAGTCGGAAGCAGAGCCGAGACTGGACCCGGAACGTTGAAATGTACTTGACAGGGGTACAGGAGGTGCAAGGCCCGCATCGAGCCCCCGCAGAAGTTGTGGGCGGAGAGGAGACAAACAGTTTTCAAGCTTTGCTCTCGGTCAGCTGTGATGGACGGAGACGCAGAGTGGCTCAGAGTCCGCGAAAGGAGTGAAACCCCTTAGATCAACCTGGACTCGCGGGACAGGGTGCCGTAAAGAACGCCATTTCCCACAGATTTTCTTCATTCTGTGTTTGAATTTGCCTATTCTCGACTCTTTCTCAATCATTCTCAGACATGGGCACCTTCCCAGCTGAGGTTGAACAGGGCTCTGCCCTCTTTTTAAAAAATATATTTTTACTGATTTTAGAGAGGAAGGGAGAGGGAGAGATAGAAACGTCAGTGACGAGAGAGAATCATGGATCGGCTGCCTCGTGCACACCCCACACCGATGCCTGAGCCCGCCACCCGGGCCTGTGCCTTGACCGGGAATTGAACTGTGACCCTCTGTTCATAGGTCGGTGCTCAACCACTGAGCCATGCTGGCTGGGCTCTGCCCTCTTTTTTTAAATTTAATTATTCACATTTATTTATTTTTAAAAAACATCTTATTGAATTTATTGGGGAAACATTGGTTAATAAAATTATATAGGTTTTGGGTGTACAATTCTAGGATACATCAGCTGTATATTGTGTTGTCTGTTCACCACCGCAAGTCAAGCCTCCTTCCTGGCTCTGCCCTTTTGTTTGAGTTTTCCTACAGTAAACGTGTCCTTTTCGAGGTTTATTACTGCCATGTTTTCACAGTTTTGTGCGTTTTGTTGGTGACTTTGCTGCCTTAAAAGAGCCAGTGATGCCGAGCTCAAGGCTGTGATATACTTTCCAGAGAGCGGGTGCCTGTCTGAGTAGATTTCTTCAGGCCTGAGCTATAGTGTGTTTGGGAGAGTTCAGTGTTAATCAGCCCATTTAATGCAGGAGATACCTTTAAGTAGAAACACAGAAACCAAGGTTATATATTGATCTGTTGACAGAAAAATGGAACCGAACGCTTGCAGAGCCTAACCCTGCATTTCCCTAGGAGCTATGGTTTAGTTTTTGCTAATTCATAGATCATGGTGACTTTATAGAACGGAACTACTGTAAATTAATGATAATCAACTGTATTTTGTGTAGTATGAGGGTTTTCAACTTGGATGTTTACGATGCATCTACCTAGAGAAGTTATTTCAAGGTTCTTGTCCCCCCACCCTTTCCAGGGTCTGGTTCCAAAGTCTGTAGGTGGGTGTGGAGATTCAGTGGATGTTGTGAGAGGTGTAGGGGTTGCAGCCATGAGAATCCACTGGGTGTAGGCCATGACCCTGGCTTGTGAGAGAGCTCATGTCCAAACCTCAGAAGGAGTTGGTGGCCTCATCTCTGGCCTGTCCGATGACCAGTGCTCTAAGGCAGTCAA